ATTTATCCCTTAGAGCCGATTTTCTATATTCATGAGGCTCTGTCACTAACATCAGTGAGCTACAGGAGCCTGTCACCAATAATAAAGAAATAAGCATGGGAAAATTTAGTAAATTTAGCTAATTGCATTTGGGCGTGAAATCCGTTTTGGTCTACATTGGTTGGGCTTTAACAGCTCTACTTCTGGTGGTTGAGCTTGCTCACACTTGAGTTATTGTTATGCCTCATGTGTAGATGCACACTATTGTGCAGCTCTTTGATGAATTTCGATTATTTCTCTCCATTCTTAAGTTCCGAAGATAGTGCCGGCGGTGTTCATCCAGATGGCAATGTTAACTGGTACTCTAATGTCACACCGACTATTTCTTTCGTGATTTTCCTGGCAAGAGCTGTTCTAGCACCCGAAGCAAAGGAGCGATAAGGTAAATCAGGAGTAGGATAGTAACACAAACTAGTGGGCGCTGGTCATTCACCGCCAGTACGCATAACGCATGGTAGGCTTTAGAGCCAGCTAAAATATAAATAACACACGGGCGGCTAAGCTAGGCAAAGTGGTGATGGAAATTTCTGGTGGTCCAGCCAGTCGGTGTGACAGGGGCCTCTCTGTCGTTGGTTAGCTTTCGTGCCAGTGAAATGAAATCTGGAAATGCGAGCGTTTTACGAGCAAAAGCAGTTAAAGAAGAGGATCTGGTTTTCATTATGACTGTCTACTAGTGTTGCCAATAGCGAAAGGCACATGTATACCAGATAAAGCTAAGTATATGGGGCCAAGAGAGAATAAGTGGAGAGCTAAATGTCTGATTCTTGGGCCTAGAACTTTCAAAGTGCGCTCTTTGTCAACAATAAGAAAGATTTATGTTTTATTTTGCGGTTACCTACTGATAGTGTTTGGAAACTGCTGAGTATAGTAACTAGTGCTCAGACTTAATGAAAAAGCTTCAATTAGGGCCCGCTGGCAACCGACATCTAGGAAGACACATAAAGGTTCATTTAAAGCCGGCATTTAGACGATTTTGGACAATTCTAATGCTAAGCTTGGGTGCATCAGCAGCAGAAACCGCTTTCAACTTCCTATGCAAGGCTTAGGTCTGGTAGCATGCCTTTACTAGGAGTACCATAGAGGTCATAAGCCTAATACTTTTCCACGGATCCAGTGGTCAAGAAGTTGGAAAGTGATAAATGTAAGTCTGAAGAGAAGGAATGAAGATGTAGATAAGAAATAAGGATTGAAGGAAGAGGTCGTTGAAGAATAAGATCATATTGTATTCAGTTTGCTATTCTTAAACCCTGGAAAATGGGTGCGACGGATACCGTTCAAGTCTCTTAGGTGCTAGAACGGTAACCACAATGAATGTGGATGAGTTTAGAGCTCAAGGTGCTTAGATGTCTTGCACTACATCTTGGGCGTCCTCAAGCTACATCAGAGCCAGTTTCAAAGAAGTGGTCTTGCAAATCGCAGATATGGAAGATGCTTTGTAGATTGCAAAAACATAGGAATTTTTGTATCTCCTTCCTGAAGACCTGCAAATTTTGGATTTCTCTTATTCTGGAAGGCAACCTGTTCCACATGTTCACGTACACAACCAAGAAGAAACGAGACCGCAGTCTCTTATTTGCCTTTAGCGGAGTAATGGAATGGCCCCTGTTTCGGAGTCTCGATTCAGACGCGCTCCTTAGTTTAAGACAAGTGATATTACTGTGCAACTTTCTATGAATTAGCTTATGTAAGAAGCACATGTTAAGGATAATGCGCCTTTGCCATAGCGGCTGAATTTTAAGGTGTTCACACCTTTGTCCGGTAGTTCAGCGCATGCTGCGATGGAGTCAACATCTTCGTAAGCGTCGCTGAGCTTTCTCAAGCAGAACACGGTCTGACTTACGTAGATTGCTGCATATAAAAGAGTAATATTCTAGACGTGGCCTGACGTGACTCTTATAAAGTTCTAGCCTAACATCTGCGTTGAACCAAATCAAAAGACAGGCGAAAAAGTAACTTCCCGACCTAAAGCAAAATTTAAAACAACGTAACTGGAGCTCATCATCGACAAACTTACCTAACTTGAACGACTCATTAAAGCAAAGTAAGTTCCACAAATGCCTTGTCTCTCTGGAGGGAAAAGGCACTTCATGGGCGTTGCTTACTAATTACGAGTGCTGCTGACTCCGACAGTGAATCATTGGCCGATAGGATTCTTGACTGCCAAGTTTTTTGAAAGCTGATGGTATCCATCCTACTCGGTGTAGGCAGACATGATACCAACATCGTTTCTGCTTTGCATCCAGATAGAAAGCAGTATGATCCATCCAAGACTCGCCTGTAAAAGTCATCTATCACGTAACTGACATAGCTGGGCCAGCTAATGTAAGGAACGTGGGCATTAAACTGGTGAACCAGGGTGTTATTTCGGGTGTTTTCCTTTTAGACCCATCAAGAGGTCGGAGCACCTCTATCAACTCCTGGCTCGAAGACCCGCTCAAGAAGGAACACTTACGGGATTCATCCTATCATTCCAGTCCCACTTGAACTTGAAGGATGAATATCGCCGCATCCTCAGGCGTGACTCGCGTCTCAAGGGAGAAACTTCTTTTTTCTGAAAGGCCTTTTTGTTATAATCTTCCCACTAGACGAGATTCCAAAAATAATAATTTACTGCTCTACAAAACTTTTAGCCCAACCGAAGGAAAAAGAAAACCGCCAATGACTTTGAAAAGTAACGTGTTAATCGCCGCCAACGAACACTGTACAACTGCTGCGGACCGTGGCTGTATTTATAGGTCTCTGCTGACCTTCGACTTCTAGAATTGGAATGTCAGCCACAAAGGTTAGTCGTTTCCCATAGCTTTTATCGAGGGATCAGGTGGCTTTTAATCACGTGCAGAAGTAGAACATTCCGGAACGTTCGAACTGGAGGCGATAATCGTTACTAATCGATTGATCGCTAAAATAGTAGATTTCCAAGTCAATTCTTACTTTCTCCCGGACACCTCTCCTCCTGAGATATCGTCCGAGGTAAAAGACGAAAGCGTAGGGTTAACATCGGGTCTGTGTTTTCTGTCTGTCGGCCCACCTATTTGGCAGAAGCGCCCCAGAACTTTGTTCCGATGTTCTTGTGCTGGATTCTTTGCTCGACTGTGTGCAGTCGTCCACTGCTACCTTCGGAATGCGGAAGCTTTCCACCAGTAAATCGAACGGGAGGTCAGTGGGCCCCGCTTTTTCTGGTTGGCACGATATGGGACGTAACTGGTTTGCATGCTGTGGCCAGATCTGTGCACCCACCATCACGTCATACATGACGTGGCAAATACTCAGCAGCGTCAAACTTTGTCATCCCCTGGTCTCACATATGCGCAGCGTTCACCTAATATACGCAACTCTATCTTCCCCAACACCTCGCTGCCCCCTTCTCTCCTACGAAAATGGAAATTGCCCAAGTTTGCCCGCAGTCAACGCTCTCACATAGCGATCCGCTTTCGCACTCAAAGTACATTGTTGATCCGGTCTTTCCCCCATTGCGATGTACACCTGTACACCCCACGTATTGGCTACCCACCCAAGCTCGCACACCGCTGGAAGGGGGATCTCAAATCCCCACCTGCGTTTCCCGTTAATAATAATATGTAACGCAGGTATTACTACCGCTTACTAATGCAAAGTAAATGTGCGAGTCATAGCTAACCGCCCATATGACCTCTTTTCTCCTGCGGCGTAACATCCTGCTGCTACTGAATGGAGGAAACCATGTTTAACACGGCGCACAGGGTCCAGTCCCACTACTCATAGTGATGCCTTAGTATTTCATTCCCAATAAGCACAAAGATAGCGGGAATGGAATCCGATTTTTTCACAGTAAGAAGTCCGTTTACCGACGCATAGTAGTGGATACATTAAATGGAAGGACATCAATATTGACAACAGAAGTCCAAGTTCCGTTTGAATCGGTTACGCTTCTTCCATTTTGTCTCATGGACACTCCAAGTCCACGAATTGGAAAACCTTATTTAAGTAATGTTAATACGTAATCCACCATTTCATACCTGCTAGCTGCTTGCACAACCTTTGGTAGTGTCGCGCCTTGCGTTGCTACGAATCGATTTCAAGTATTTCCTGACATCATCATCAGGTGACACAATACTTCCGGAGAAATGTTTTAAAAGAGCGGCTACGACGGGGATGAAAGGGCAAAGATGTTGCTTACCTTGCGCTTCGGTGAATAGCTTTATCTTCCGGAATCCGTGTTTGTTGCGGAGACAGGAGTAATTGATCTCCGCCATCAATGACCGTGTTAGAAGACGCTGCATCTTGAGGCACACAGTCTCCGACAACGTGTCTCCATGCACAAGTTTCAGTTTAGACTGCATGCATATGTGAGGTATCAAGGAATCTTACCAACTGTTGAATACATCCTGCAATAGTATAACAAATGACTGTAGTTCCTCCACCGATGTAATTTGCGAAGGAAGCGGCGTTGCCTGCTGCCCTGTTTGCCCGGCAATGGTTGCAGCCATCGATCTCATGTAACTCTTCACATACTCCAGTGTCTTCATATGTATGTATTCTCATCAGTCTATTAGGTAGACACTGAACATTACCTGAAAATGTATACCGTTTTAGGTAATGTAGTAAGTTACCATCTATGAACTCCTTTATTCTTCAGTTGGTTCATATCGCCTGAAAGAAAATGGTAAAACCTCAAGTACATGCTTACGGTGAATGCCATTCCAATCGCTTGTAGGAACGGTGATGAAGGAGGAGTCAGGTAGACTCTAGGACTAGGACACTCAAGCTACAAAGTGTAAGCACCAATCGGAATCCGTTTTCCGAATCAGTTCGTTCGAATTGTTATCACAGTGAGATGCAGTACTGTACGCTGAAGTTTCATATCAAGAAAAATGTATCCCTTACTTGTATAAGCTTGTTCGTATCCACCCTTGTTGTATTGCTGGGAAAATGACTGACGTAGGTTTTTAACCATCGAGCGGGCCAACTCAGTTAAAGAAAAGATAGCTAGAGAGCCATAGAGAACGGCTGTGGGGACCATGCGCTTCCTGGAGTGGCTCAAAGTCATCGGCAGTCTGCAGACTTCGGTGTACCTGTATGTTATTGGTGCACAAACGCCCTGTTTTTTCTTATATGAGGTAATCAGCAATAACTTAGGGAGATTATAAATTACCGGTATGTGGTAATGGTTCACATTTTTAGGCGTTAGGATCTCATTTTCCGTAACCTCCACAGGACAATCTCTTTGATCAATTTGTCCGAGGCATGTTTTCGCGCGCAAATACCGATCCCGCGCGGGCAATTGTCGGTTTGTACACCGAGGTCTCATTAATAATGCTGAACATCAAAGGTTATGTTGAAGATGGCGACGTACATACAAAAAGATCTTGATTAATAGAAACACCGAAACGTCGTGCAATATCGTCACCGATATTACTAAGCGAATGCGCCCCGCAAAATAGAAAAGAAGCTCACAATGAAGCTATCTACGTAGAGCACGAGTAATTGCGCAAACGAACATAACAATGCACAACCTGTGCGTTGGGGCGATAGCAGCTGGGACAAACAAAGGACAAAGCTTGAGAAATGAAATCAAGCTGAAAAGTTCATTTTTGCAATACTGCAATGAAAAAAACACATATAGTGCTTCTTATATCCAACTCACGTCGAAATGGCTTACTACCAACAAACTATTTCTCCGCTATCGAAAATGCACAACGAAAAATGGAAGTCCACCACGGCGAAGCAGAATTTACAACCAAACGGAGCAGTGCCAGACGAAGCGGAAAATTTAAAGGCGCGGCAAAATTCAAAAGGTGGGTCGATGACTCTTTTTAAGAAATCATATAGGATTTTTTGACAGAATGAAGCAACTAAACAATGTTATGCTTATACTTTAGTTAACGTAACCTACACATATATGTGCATCCCTTGCTGGAATACGGAGTAGATCAAGTAGCCGCCCATATATTACTGAAGGACTTTGAAGGACTTTTGAAGGACTTTGACGACCGAAAAAAGGACTTCATGTGCTAGCAGGGTAATCTCTGCTTATAGCAGCTAGCCGCTATAGCCTCATATCAACCTTGCTGATATCCGGAGCTCTCTAGATGTCGCTCAATTATTACAATGTCCATTCTCTTTGATTGTTTGCGTCACAGCTCAGCTGTTTGTTGACCTATTCTGTGCCACCGTAGGATCCACTAGTAACTGATGCCTTAATCCGAATTCCATGGCTGGCTGCTTATCTCATCACTAGCGTGCCGTTATCTGCCGTCCTTCTTAGTCGTTTCACTCGACTTAACAGTAGCTGGTCATTGTTGGCCCCTATGTAACCAGCAAAGATTCACTACTTGACACTTCAGCCTTCATTTTCCTCTGACGTCTGTCTCCTTAATCGGCGCTCGTCTGTTGACATATTCATTGAAACTGTAGTTATCCAGTGGTGGTCAAACTTCTTAATCATATGGCTACAGCAGCCTCTGATACATCCTTTTCTAGAGCCACTAATTCTGCCTGGCAGCAGCTAGTCCCATAACCCCAATTCAACTTTGCGGATACCCGGAGCTCGCTCCCTTCTTACAATGTTCATTCGCTTGGATTGTTTGCGTCACAGCTCAGCTGTTTGTTGACCTATTCTGTGTCACCGTAGGATCCACTAGTAACTGAAGCCCTAATCCGAATTCTATGGCTGGCCACTTATCTCACTACTTGCGCGCTGTTATGCGAAGTTTTTCTTAGTAGCGGCACTCTTCTTGGCAGTAGCTAGTCACTGTTGGCCCCATGTAACCTGCAAACAGCCACTACTTGACTCTCCAGCCTTCATTTTCCTCTGACGTCTGTCTCCTTAATCGGCGCGTCCTTTGACTTAATTATTGAAACTGTAGATATCCAGTAGTGGTCAATCTTCTTAATCATATGGCTTAACCAGCCACTGATACATGTTTTTCTTGTGCCACTATCACTGCTTATAGCAGTTAGTCGCCATAGCCCCAATTTATCTTTGCTGATACCCGGAGCTCTCTAGGAGCTGCTCATTTCCTACAATGTTCATTCTCTTGGATTCTTTGCGTCACAGCTCAGCTGTTGTTTAACATATTCTGTGCCACCGTAGGATCCACTAGTAACTGATGCCTTAATCCGAATTCTATGGCTGGCAGCTTATCTCACTCCTAGCGCGCCGTTATCCGCCGTTCTTCTTAGTTGCGTCACTCTTCTTGGCAGTAGCTAGTCATCGTTGGCCCCACGTAACCTGCAAACAGCCACTACTTGACCCTCCAGCCTTCATTTTCCTCTGACGTCTGTCTCCTTAATCGGCGCTCGTCTGTTGAGATATTCATTGAAACTGTAGGTATCCAGTAGTGGTCAAACTTCTTAATCATATGGCTACAGCAGCCTCTGATACATCCTTTTCTAGAGCCACTATCTCTGCTAAGTAGCAGCCAGTCCCCATAGCCTCAATTCAGCAAAGCGGATACCCGTAGCTCGCTCCCTTCTTACAATGTTCATTCTCTTTGATTGTTTGCGTCACAGCTCAGCTGTTTGTTAACCTATTCGGTGCCACCATTGGATCCACTAGTAACTGAAGCCTTAATCCGAATTCTATGGCTGGCCACTTATCTCACTCTTAGCGCGCCGTTATGCGCCGTTCCTCTTATTTGCGTCACTCTTCTTGGCAGTAGCTAGTCATTGTTGGCCCCATGTAACCTGCAAATAGCCACTACTTGACTCTCCAGCCTTCATTTTCCTCTGACGTCTGTCTCCTTAATCGGCGCTCGTCTGTTGACATATTCATTGAAACTGTAGGTATCTAGTAGTGGTCAAACTTCTTAATCATATGGCTACAGCAGCCTCTGATACATCCTTTTCTAGAGCCACTATCTCTGCTAAGTAGCAGCCAGTCCCCATAGCCTCAATTCAGCTTTGCTGATACCCGGAGCTCTCTAGGAGCTGCTCATTTCTTACAATGTTCATTCTCTTTGATTGTTTGCGTCACAGCTCAGCTGTTTGTTGACCTATTCTGTGCCACCGTAGGATCCACTAGTAACTGATGCCTTAATCCGAATTCTATGGCTGGCCGCTTATCTCACTCCTAGCGCGCCGTTCTTCTTAGTCGCTTCACTCTTCTTGGCAGTAGCTAGTCATTGTTGGCCCCATGTAACCTGCAAAGAGCCACTACTTGACACTTCAGCCTTCATTTTCCTCTGACGTCTGTCTCCTTAATCGGCGCTCGTCTGTTGACTTATTCATTGAAACTGTAGGTATCCAGTAGTGGTCAAACTTCTTAATCATATGGCTTAACCAGCCACTGATACATCCTTTTCTAGAGCCACTATCTCTGCTTAGCAGCAGCTAGTCGCCATAGCCTCAATTCAACTTTGCGGATACCCGGAGCTCGCTCCCTTCTTACAATGTTCATTCTCTTTGATTGTTTGCGTCACAGCTCAGCTGTTTGTTGACCTATTCTGTGCCACCGTAGGATCCACTAGTAACTGAAGCCTTAATCCGAACTCTATTGCTGGCCATTCATCTCTCCTAGCGCGCCGTTATCCGTCGTCTTTCTTACTCGCGTTTACATGACATGTGGTCAAAATTCTTAATGATATGGTTGAATCAGCCACTGATACATCCTTTCCTTTAGCCACTATCTCTGCTCTGCAGCAGCATTTCGCTGTAGGCTCTATTCAACTACGGGTATACCCCTTAGCTCGCTAGGGGTCAGTCCTTCTGTAGAATGGTTATTCTCTTGGTATAGTTTTTTCACAGCTCAGCTGGTTTGCTGTCCGATCCTTTGACACGGTAGTTATTCATTAGTAACTAGAATGATTAACCCAACAGGCACCTTTGGCCACTGAAACCCGGTCCATTATCGATATCTTCTGATCGTCTTACCTTCAACACTTAGTCTTTCTTTGATATCCATTTAATCTTAGCCTGCTTCTAATATGCTCAGCTTCCTATCTTCATATACCTATGTACATTGTAGTTATGGTGTCTTAGGTAATCCTTATCCCGTGGAGCATATATAAATACGGCCACATCGTCACTGTCTTTTGGTTTCCGATAACAACCAATCGTGACTACACACCCACTTTCTAGTCTCAGGTAGAATTCGAACATTGTCAGCTTACACCTCATGAATATCTTACCGGAATCCTGCTCTTCATCCCTATGCACATGAAAGTATTCTACCCATCAGGCCATGCCTTCTGCATAAGTAAAAACATCTTTAGCGTAATATCTGTTACACCTTGTACACTAGTTGTCTCAAATAAATGTCTTAAGGTAGGATTTTGATCAAACGCTAGGTACATTGACTGTCCCTTTTCGGTCTTCTCTCGGCTTGTTCCTCTCTCCCTTTTCTCTGAGGTCATGAACATCGGAGAGCTTCGGGATTGAACTGAGGAACTGCCTCCGTCTGGGATGGGACGAAATAACCAACAAGTACTTACCTGGACCATGGCCTCACTTCCACTCTAACTATTTGCACCCAACCACCGATGTCCAGTGAGGGTAGCTGGACACGAATTCTTCGCTCCCCGGCAAATATACATAATCAGAGAAGACTTCACTTGGTTCTGCGAAGGATCAACACATCATTTTCAATAAGAATGTTTAGTACCCGACCTACCAATGGACAGGACCCAGGAACGCAATAGGCAACCAGTTATTGCATCAACCAGCAGAAAAAATGGGACGCAACCTGACTGCGAATAACCGAGCAAAAAAACGTTAAACGAGAAACATAGCCAGTTACAATTTGCCATTCAATGGATTGGTGGCAGTGTTCCAGGACGTGGTGGGTTTTCGCCTGTCAAGCGTTCTTCCTACAAAAAGCCACAAATGTCCGTTTAACAGCACTGCAACGTGGCGTATGTGACTCGCCACTGAATAAAGTCACAGCCCATAACTTTACACTGGCAGGTCAACTAGCGTCACAATTCTACCTAGGATCGTTACACTGGGACTTCTACATCTGCATATACTGTTGTCGTTTTACATCCTACGATACGTTGACCTTTCCTTATTTGTGTGCGGGCTCTTCCATTACGTTTCAATGGATCATTCAGGATTCTCAAGCTCTTATTAGCTGAGGTCCCGTATCTCATGACAGCCAACTTATTGTTTCTCATTTTCAACATTGTACAGTTCCAATCATGGATATATGAACAATTTTCTACGTTACTGTTACAACTGCATTAAAATGTTTGTACCGTTGTACATATCTGATCATGCCTCCGCGAGCGTGCCTCGCACAGTCGAGAATAAAATATTTATTTATTTATTTCCGCGCTTGCTTTTGACCGTCCCTGGCGTCCATTTATAAATAAATAAATAAATAAACGTTTATTCTCGACAATGCGAGACACACCAGTACAGGCATGATCATGATTACCTAACACAGTGTGATCAAAATGTACAGAGTACATGTTTGGCATAACAGTGAATGTAAGTGTATGGGTGTAT